TCTTATAAATAGTGTTAAAAAAAAAAAAAAAAAAAAAAAAAAAAAAAAAAAAAAAATAGGTAAAATGTTACAAGTGTTAAAGTTGTGAAATCGTGTGCCAGAGGCCTTGTGCCAAGGTACCCCTCAGTGGGTAAGTGGGGCAGTGTGGCCCCAAGGAAAGTTAACCACACAGTGGATGGGACATCCACAGGGAGAGGAAAGGGGCGGGGAGAGAGGGGGAGGAAGAGGGAGGAAGAGGAGGAGAGAGGAAGGAAGAGAGAGGGAGAGGGGGGAGAGAGGGGGAGAAAGGACAGAGAGAGAGGTGTGTGCTATCCCTGGTGAGAAGGGGGAGAGAGAGCTTGAGTGAAGGGGGGAGGAGTTTTTCCTTAAAGGGAATGTAGGATGGCATCAGGACCCTGGATGGGTTCCCAAAAGGCGCATCAGAATACTAACAAGTCCATTGAAAAACATAAAGGTGTGGTGGCTCACACCTATAATCCCAGCACTCAGGAGGCTGAGACAACTGGTGTAAATTCCAGGCAAGATCTTGTCTCCCCAAAACTGAAAGTCAGCAGGGCATGGTGTCATGTGCCTTTAATTCCAGGACTTGGGATGCTGAGGCAGGAGGATCTCTGTGAGTTAGAAGCCACCCTGATTTACATAGCAAGCTCCAGGCCAGAACACTAGCCAAGGATACCTAGTACGACTCTGTCTCAGTAACGACAACAAAACCAAACAATAACATAAACCACCAAAACTTAGCTGGATGTGGTGATGAATGATTTTAATCACAGCAAACAGGAGGCAGAGACATGGGGATTTCAGGCTTTGAGGCCAGCATGATCAACATTGAGTTTTCATTATATCAGTGAGACAAATGTTTCAAAAACAAACAAGCAAAAACAACCCTCCATAAAGTTTAATCCAACATAAATGTTCATGATTGGCTCAACATGAGTGCTTGGAACCGAACTCAGGTCTTCTGGAAGAACAGAAAGTGCTCTTAAGTGCTGAGTCATCTCTTTAGTCACTATTTTCCTTTTCTAGACACAGGTTCTTAAGTAACCTTGGTTTCAGACTCGCTATGTAACCATGCTGGCCCTGAAACTCCTTATTCTGTCTCTACCTCCTGAATGCTGGGACTACGGGCATGCATGCCCAGGTCTGGCAAAGCAGCACATTTCAATTAGTGACTCTCAAGCATAGGCAGATTGTGTTCCAGTGAAGACAAGGCGATCTTTGCCCATCCAGTCATCCCCAGTATAAAGGCCTTATCCCGTTGTCCCCCAGACGTGGTACTCCACACCTGGGAAGCCCTACAGAACTCCCACATGACAACCCAGGGTCAAGTGCAGGCTGAGTTCTTCAAGGAGAAACGGGCTGCGATGGCCTCTGGGAAATGTAGTCCTGAGCGGGGTCATTTGATCCGGTCCTTGCCGCACTCCTGATTCTGGAATAAAAATCTCCACCCCACCGCAGAGCTGAATCACCTAAAAAAAACAGAGGATTCTAGCCCCGGATCCGTGAGAAGTTCTCCCTTAGAAGGCTAATCGTATGTTCTCTCGTTCCAACATTCTCTACTTCCACTCTCCGGCGTTGAAACTCTCCTGGGGAGTCTGGAGAAGCACGGCCTTCTGGGAAATGTAGTTCACTTTAAAAGCTGAGACACATGGCGGAAGTGGCTGGAGAGAGGTTGTTCCGGATCGTCTCAGTGCCCTACCCGACCTAACCGGGTGCTGTCCTGGTTGGTATTCGCTGGTCCTCTGAGTTCGTAGCCCGTGGGGTCGCAGTTATACTTTTGAGGTGAGTCTTGCCCTGGTTCTAGGCATTTTGGGTATGGGGCCTTAAGGCCTTTATTTGTTGGTCGCTGGCTGCCGGCTGGCTCTAGGGGACCCACCCGGTTTCCGGGATGGCGCTGGAGGCGCAAGAGGTCTCCTCCGCAGGGACTACGGCGAGGCGAGTGTGACTTCATAGGGAAAAGGGTTTTGGAGGGTGTGGATTGTACGGAAGGGTGAGAGCGAGCGTGCGCGAGGTCACCAGAACGTGGGTGGTAGGTGGTTACCGGATCCTCTAGTCTCCCACCGCAAAGTGGGGGGAAATAACGTCTACTCCTTCCTTGATGTCAAATTTACTTGAAAAATTGGAAAAAAAGAGAGCTAAATATTGGAGGTGATAAGGATTTCTGTGCACAAGATAGATCAGTTTACCAACAGCGTGACTTTTAAATATAGTCGGAAGTCAGATGGGCTGACCCACTTCCCTGATCTCAGCACTCCAGCTGCGGAAGCTGGAAGACAGCGACTTGGAGGACAACCATAGGCACACAGAGAGTTCCAGGTGGGCTGCATAGTGAAATCCTGTCTCGGAAATCTATGAGGGTGGAGAAACTATATTTGAAAAGACTCGTTACTGTGGAACTCCTACTTTTGGGTCACACCCTCAGAGCAGGCGGGTTAGTCTTGTTTAGGGAACAAACAACAGATATGAAAAGTCTAGAGAAACTGTAAGGCTCGGTTGACTACCATCAGAGAAGTCAGAATTTGGAGTTCAGGATTCAGGGTAATCCACATCAGTTCTGAAAAGAAAACCTCAGCTCGGAGCCTTTACGACAGGAGACACATGAGCACACTGGGACTCATGTTGTTCGCCCATCTCTCCACTTCAGTTTATAGTGTGTCGATAAGTTAGTTACAATAAGATAGTTACAATATAGTTACAATAAGATAGCTATCAATGTGGTGGATTTACAAGGTAGGGATTTTTTTTTAAAGGTAATTGCATGGGATTAGTGCCCTGGTTCCCTGGAGCTGCCTCTTTCCTCTAGATGAGAGCACAGAACAGAGTCTCCAAATGTGGACCAGGAAATAGGTTTACAAGAGACACCAAATCTGTCAGTGCTGAGATGGGGACTTCTCTGCCTCCATAACTGAGAAACAGATTTGCTGTCTGTAAGCTGCCTAGCCTCTGATATTTTTGTTAGAGCAGCTTAAATGGAAATAAATGGACTTTACTACTGTACCTCACCAGTTCCTGCAGAAATTATTTGAAGTTCCTGAAATGAACCTTGCTTTTTGTTTAAGGTTTCCAGCCAGATCAAGTTCCTCTTTTTTATTTGCGTGAGAGGTGGAGGAAATCACAGAAAAGGTTCTCTTCATGCCACGGAGAGCTCTTTCTGCTGTCCTAGTAAAAGAGAGTGTGGGATGAGACAGGGATTTGTGGGGTGAGGTAGGGCTGGAGGGTAATTAATAATGGGATGAGATGTAGGGATGGATGTGTGGTAGGGAACATTTTAGAGATTATTGAACCCATCACTGATGGTAATATTGAATAGTGACTAGCCTGAGGCCACAGTTTTAATATATTTTTTTTGTATTGCTGGACTGAGCCTGGGCCTTTCAGCATTAGGCAAGATTTCTGCTACTGTTCTTCACACAAAGTTCTTGGTCAGTCTTAGATATGGAGGGAGGATCCCATGTCAGGAAGAGTCACCAGGAACAGGGATTCCCTTCTGGTTCCTTTGGGAACTCTGGGGAAAAAACTGTGCTGAGAACCCCTCCTAGGTCTCAACTATCCAAGTCTTCTGAAGTAGCCTAGTGAATGTAGAAAATAGAAACTGGGGCTTGAGAGATGGCTCAGCTGTTAAGAGCACTGGTTGTTCTTCCAAAGGACCTAGGTTCAATTCCCAGCAACTGCATGGTGGCTCACAACCCTATAATGGATTAGTGGGTCTGATGCTCTCTTCTGATGTACATGAAGACAGAGCACTCATGTACATAAAATACATAAATAAATAAATCTTATGGGCTAGAGTGATGGTTCAGTGGTTAAGTGGCTGCTCTTCCAGAAGATCTGGGTTCAATGCCCAGCACCTATATGGCAGTTCATAGCTATCCATAACTCAGTTCCAGGGTGTCCTGTTCCCTCTTCTAACCTCTCAAGGTACCAGGCATACATGTAGTAGACAGACATATGTACAAGCAAAACACCAATAAACATAAAATAAATTAATCTTTTAAAAATCAATTCTGAGCATGGACTCTACGGCACGTTTTATTGGGGTGGGGAAGGGTTGAAGACAAGGGAATAAACAGCATCTGTTTGGGGGAAACTCAAGTCACCCGAGAAAAAACAGCAGGCATTTTACTGGGTACTGGAAGGGGCCTTGGGCGTTATGGACATAGTGTTTTTAAAAAATTAAAGGCTGGGGCTGGAGAGATGGCTCAGAGGTTAAGAGCACTGGCTGCTCTTCCAGAGGTCCTGAGTTCATTTCCCAGCAACCACATGGTGGCTCACAACCATCTGTAATGAGATCTGGTGCCCTCTTCTGGCCTGCAGTCATACATGCTGTATACCTAATAAATGAATAAATCTTTAAAAAAAAAATTACAGGCTGAATGTGGTGGTGGACACCTTTAATCCCAGTACTCAGGAGTGAAAGGCAGGCAGATCTTTGAGTTTAAGGCCAGCCTGGTCTGCATATCGAATTGAGGCCAGCCAGGGCTACACAGTGAGACCCTGTCTTAAGAAAGAAAGAAAGAAAGAAAGAGAGAGAGAGAGAGAGAGAGAGAGAAAGAAAGAAAGAAAGAAAAGAAAGAAAAGAAAAGGAAAGAAGAAAATTAAAGGGTCCTGGTAGTGCACACATTTCATTCTAGTACTTGAGAGGCAGAGGAAAGCAGATCTCTGAGTTGGAGACCAGCCTGGTCTACTTAGTGAGACCATATCATTAAAAAAAGAAAAAAGAGTATCTCTTCATGTTCATAAGAAGATTTTTCTATGCATGCTACAGATAAATGGCAGGTTTGTCTCTAGGAACCTCCTGGGACATTACTCCCGTAGCTGGTAGAGTCTACCCTTGTGATAAGGGGCTATGAGAAAGACACATTCCTTACCCTGTTAATGAGGTAGGAAGGACTTCCTGGGTGGGTAACAGGCCTTACAAATGGAAGGAATGAGGATCTGTCATCCTCCCTATGAGTGTCCCTCAGGAGCATAACAGTCTCAATTGTGGTTTTGGTCTTGGATGTTTAACCTAGTTTCTTCTAACTCCATCTTCCTTCTCCAGTTCTGCAGTTTTCCCAAAGTGCCCAGAACAGAGAAGCATGGCTATTGTGGATGTCAACACTGTGTTCAAGGTGAGGTAAAAGTTCTTCCGTCATCTGTCTTCTGGTTGCTGATTCCTGAAATGGAATTGTCACCGTGTTGTCATGGTAACCATGTGAGGCTGAGGTTTGCCAGTAGGATTCTGTTTCTTCAGTATGTGTGAACTACAAGAGGCTGTATGTTTTGGTTTTTTTGTTTTGTTTTGTTTTGTTTTTTCACTCATGCATTTCTGGGCCATGTAAGGAATCTCGCTACGTCTGTGTTCATGCACGTACTTCTTTTTTCTTTTCCTCAGTTTCCTTCTCTGAAAGTGGCAGAAATACTAGCACTTACTTCAGATTTGTTCTGAGTGAATTGATGGGTGTAAGGTCGTTAACAAGTGCTGACACATAGGATATACCAGATGAGATTATTATTGTGTCGTGTACTCAGTCGCCTATGAGTCAGAAATAGGGGAAATACAAAATTATTCGGGATTGCTGCAAGTTCAAGCCCATCCTAGGCCACCTAGTAGGTTCCAAGCTCACTGTGTGAGATCCTGTCTCAAAAAAAAAAAAAGAAAAACACATAAGAAAAATGTTGGTAGATATTTGCAAATAAAGAAAAGTGCTTTTGCTTTTAAATCCGCAGGTCTGTATATTTTTACTGTGTTTACTTATTTAATGGGACAGAGTCTTATTATGTAGTCTGCAACTTGCTATGTAGACCACTCTGGCCTTTAATCCGCAGAGATCTGCCTGCTTCTGCCTCCCCAGAGGCTCGGATTAAAACCTGGCTATGATTATTATTGTTTGTTTTTTTTAGTCAGGGTCTCATGTAGCTCAGGCTGGCTTTGAACTTGGTTTAGAGCCAAGGATGAACTTGAACTCATGAACTTTCTGCTCCCACCTCATTTATTGGTTGCACATCCTTTGATACTCCCCCTAGAACAGACATATAATTTATTCTTTATTTTTTATTCATTATTTCCATCAGAAACCCATTGTCTTTTCTTTTCTGCTTAATAACTTTCCACCTAGAAAACAAAAAATGCTTCTTTTAAAATTTATGTGTTATTTAAATTTTTTTTAGTTTCTCTAGACAGGGTTTCTCTGTGTAGTCCTGGCTGCCCTGAAACTCTCTCTGTAGACCAGGCTGGCCTCGAACTCACAGAGCTCCACCTGCCTCTGCCTCCTGAGTGCTGGGGTTAAAGGTGTGCGCCACCACAACCCAGCTTGCCTCCCCTTTCTAAATCATCTGAGTAAGTGGTCTTTTGACTTCAGCATACACACATACAGAATTTTAAAAATTAAAATAGATAGAGGATGAATAACACTGAAAAGCTGAGAGAAGGTGATTTTGTGGGCAGTGCAGAGATAAAGGGTACCTTTAGAGATACCCTCAGGCTATCTCTGAGGCACTGAGCTTTTAGGGTTAACTAGGAAGAATGGGAGTAGGGAGAGGTGTGCATAATTAAGCAGTCCTGATCAGGGTGTGGTCTGATCAGTCCTTGTCCCTTCTCTCAGTTTCTGCAAGCTGGTGGGCAGGACCTCATGGTTGCAGGGGACAGATTTATTCTCAGCAGCTGTTTACTTTTGCTCCTGATCGGGCCCTACCCTTAGGGACAGTTGGCCACATTTGAGGGCAGGGGGCAACCCTTGAGGCTATTCTATTCCTGAAGTCCAAGGTGAATGCAGTTTTAGGACCAGAACCTGAGACCTTTAGATTCCTTTTAGGTGTTCTGGAGACAGAGATACACAAAAACGTTGACAGTACGATGCCTATACCCACTTGTGTGCTTCAGTTTTAGAAGTTAAGGAGATAGGCAAGGAAGGTGTCACCGGTTTCGTCTTGAGTGATGGGCGTGCCTGCTTGCAGAGCTGTGATCGGCATGCCTGCTTGCGGAGCTGTGATCAGCGTGCCTGCTTGCAGCATGCCTGCTTGCAGAGCTGTGATCAGCGTGCCTGCTTGCGGAGCTGTGATCGGCATGCCTGCTTGC